ATTAATTTAGCAACTGTTGATTTGAAGAACTGTGCAACCAACAAGGGAATGAGGGGAGAATTTTAAGTCTGGATGCCAAGTTCAGAGCAAAATATTAATAGTCTCCTGCTCACATCTGCCATATCTGTAAATATAATAGAGGGAGAGGATAATAAGAATCATATGAATAATGTTAAATAAAAAGTGCAAATAAAGCAGGAAATTTTTTCCATTAAATCTGCCACTTATTCAAGTTCAGTAAAATGGTTGTAAGGAAAATAACAATTTAAGGCAGAAGGCTAGTTACATTGTTGCTATTCAGAACTTCTTAAGGGCGGAAGAATGAATACCTATCAACTCCCCTGCTTTAAACTTACTTATTTGCCTTAAAACATGTTATTTTGTAACTTGAACATCTATGTTATGCCTTGAAAAGTCCAAGAAGAAAGTAAAATCATACTGAAAGCCAGCAACTGCATCAATACATCTAGACAGATGTTTGCTGGTGGGTTTTGGTAACAAACCCTTTTTCCTCACATTGCACAGATATTCTTTTGATAGGCACAGCCCTGGCAGTAATGAGAATGTGGGTTGGTGCACAGAAATGTTACAAATTCTGCAAGTGGAGAACTTATTCTCTCCATAGGGGCTGAATTTTGCTTTTTTTAGAAGGTAAAATTTTATTTTTGTTCAGCTTTCTCCCACCAATTTCACTAGTATTTCTTGCACATGGAAAGACATATATCTGGTGTGATAATACTATCAAAAGTACTACGAAATACCTTCAGCTGATGGTTCCCTTAGCCACAGAACAAGCTTTTTTTGGAGTCAGGATGATTTCCTTTGGGCAGATTCCCAGGAAGGGACCACTGGGTCACAGAGAATGAATCCGGTAGTGACTTGGAGTATGTTGCCAGAGAGGCCAGGAGGGTCATTCCAATGCCAGCTCTCCAGTGAACCCTTCCCTGGCTTCTCTCTGCCCCTTTGGCTGTGCCCCTTTGCAGATGGATAGGGCTGATCTGTCTGCACAAGGGCTAGTGGTGGGAGGGTTTTCCAGCCCTCAGGAGAAAACACAGTCACATACACCCACCCATTCTGATGCCCCACCTCCATCCCTCAAAACGCTTGTTGGACATTTTTCTTTCTCTCATTCTCTCTTAATTATGACTTAACTCCTAAGACTTGGGCAAACACTCCCAGTATCATAAGGGGGGGCTAGCTGGGTGGCCTATGCCCTATTATGGTATTTTATTCACCCTTCAGCCAGACTCCATCCTCCTTACCAGAGCCATTGCCATGGCAACTGTCCTCCTTTGGGCAATAAGTATGGGCGGCAAAGTCCTACATGATTAATATGTTTGATATTTTACCCTTCAAAAAATTCTTTAGGGAAATTCAAGTTGGATTGTTGAACAAAATAAATAAGGTTTTTATTGTCAACGAGGGCTAAGGGTGGCAGCTTTGATAACAGGAAAAGCCTGGACTGGTCACAAACCTGAGACTAGAATGAGCAGGTCACATCCAGCTCCACTTCAGACAAGAAAGGAATGAAAAAACTCTCGATTGATGGAAATTGACTCAGAACCCAGAGTGTTGGGGAGCTCTAACATAAGATTAGTGCTGAGATGAAATGTGCCTCAACCCAAACCCAATCTCAGTGACCTTTGGGTGGTTTTTGGCTGTCACCACTGGAGGGATCAGGGATTTCACCTGCAGAGAATGCCCTTTGGGGGCTCTGGGCCTTCCCTGACCCTCTGGCATCACACCACAGGTCTCCTCAGCCTTAAACATGCGCCCATGTCACACAGCACACTGAGAATTTTGCAGAGGCTGAATGTATCAGCTCAGAGGGAAGAGCTAGCCTAATGTCCTCCTCCATCCCCACCATCTTCTGTCCACCATTTACAATAGATTTGCTCTTTTTTTTTTCTTTTGGCGGTACGCCTCAGTCACCTCACCTCCCTCACCTCACCGCCCTCACTTCCCTCACCTCACCTCTCGCACATCACCTCACATCCCTCACCTCCCTCACCTCCATCACCTCACCACCCTCACCTCACCTTCCTCACCTCCCTCAACTCACCTCACCTCCCTCACATCATCTCACCTCCCTCACATCATCTCACCTCCCTCACATCATCTCACCTCCCTCACCTCTCCTCCGTCACCTCCCACACCTCTCCTCACCTCCCTAAACTCACCTTACCTCCCTCACCTCATCTCCCTCACCTCCCTCACCTCCCTCACCTCACCTCCCTCTCCTCACCTCACCTCCATCACCTCACCTCCCTCACCTCCCTCTCACTGTTGTGGCCTCTCCCATTGCGTAGCACAGGCTCCGGACGCGCAGGCTCAGCGGCCATGGCTCACGGGCCCAGCCGCTCCGTGGCATGTTGGATCCTCCCGAACCGGGGCACAAACCCGTGTCCCCTGCATTGGCAGGCGGACTCTCAACCACTGCACCACCAGGGAAGACCAGATTTGCTCTTTTTTGACATTTTGTTTAAAATCAGAGAATTAAAGATTGAAATTTACAGTATGTTGTTTTAAGTATTATGCTTCTTGGTTTCATAGGCAATTACTTTTTCCTTTAAAGTAGACTTATTCCTCCCTCCCTCCCTCTCTCCCTTCCTTCCTTCCTTCCCTCCTTTGTCTGTATTTATGTATGTATTTTGCCTTAGTGGGATTCACTCTGGCATAGTGGAAAGAGAGTGAGGTGTGGAGGCAGACAAACCTTGGTTGGAGTCCATGCTTTCCTATTAGCTATGTAGCTTTGGCATAGGGTGACCAGATGTCCTAATTTGCTGAGGACTGAGGGGTTTCCTGGAAGACAAGACTTTCAGTGCTAAACTCAGGACAGTTTATCACAAACCAGGACAGTTGATCACCTTACTTAGGCAAGACCCTTAACCTCTCTGAGCCTTGGTGTCTTCATATGTGAAATGAGGATAATAATACTTGTCTCCTGAGTTATTTTGAGGATTGGAGCTAGTGTAGAAAAAGGGCCTGAAGCTATGTCGGAGATCTACTAGATCTCAGTAGATGATACTGATAGTAGTATTAATATTAGTAATTTTCTATATATTTTTTAAGGCTCGAAGAGATCGTTCATCATCATTCAGTTCTGCCATCAATGCTTTTCTCTTAATATCGAATGTCTGTTCAGGAAAGGGGAGTTTAGTTCGTTTTCTTCACTTTTATGTAAACCTGGGTTTCTAAAACGTTACTTTCCCAATTAAAAAAAGGCTACTAAATTTTGCCTAACATCTCTGAGTGGAGTCTAAGGGTAACACACCAACTGAGATTCAGATTATATTTTAGAAACCCTGAGAAAGTCATTGAGGCCCCTAAAGTCTTCTCTTTAGATACAAGACATATGGCTTTTACCAAGCCCCTTCTTTCCCAGATGCAGGTCTGATGTGTTTCAGGTATTGAAGGCTTGGGAACTGACGGTCTGCTCTGGATACTTCCCTACACAGGAGAGTGAAGGTCCAGGCCACCTGCCAACATTAGATCACCTGCCCCGCAGCAAGCTTGTCCTCGCTCTTTTGAGTTGGCCCTTTTGTCCAGAAAAAGGCGTTGGGAACCAGGGAGGCAAATGGGGTGGAAACGTGTGGCCTTGGGGAGAAAGTAAGAGGTTAAACCTGCGTATGGACTCCAACACTTGTTCTAGCTCCCCCTGACTCTTTTCTGGTCCTTGCCCACTATCGGGGTGTAGGCCTCTGTCTCCCATTTTCAAGTTTGAGTAGAGGTGATGAAATGGAGAAATGAATGCCAAAGTGTCTCCAAAGGGGAAAAACTAAAACAACTCAGTAGAGGTCCAGTTTCTGGGCTCATAAGCATTTTATTTTATTGGTTCAGAATAAACAGAGGGCTCTATTCAGCCAGGACTTATCAGCTTCCTCCCTCCAAGCTGTCTGAGATGGTCTGGTCTCCAGGTAACAGGCTGCACCTGCCCTTGTGGACTTCCTGCTTGGATGTTATTATTTCTAAATTGTGGTAAAAAAAACCACATAACATAAAATTTATCATATTAACTATTTTTAAGTGTATAGTTAAGTACATTCATACTGTGCCATTTCTGGATGTTATTTTCAAGTTTTTGATCCTTCATAAGTTCTTAGGTTTGTGTTTTTCCTCTGGATAGGAAATGAAGATATTCTCATTGAAGAAAATTTGGAAAGTACTGAGAAGTACAAATAAAGAAAAAGAATCATTATATCACTATAAAAACAACCACTTTAAAATATTTTGGAATATATTTCTTTCCAGGGCATTTTTCAATGCACTATTTAAAAGAATTAATATTTTAAAAAATCTTAAGAATTTAATGGCTGTGTATTAATTTACATGTATAAACTATTATTTATGTAAGTCTTCCTCTAGCTGGATTTTAAGATGATGCAGTTTCACTATTCCAAACAATTGATATATATCTTTGGGCATAAATATTTATGATTATTTCCTTAGAGGATGTGAAAAAAAGAATTGCTGGATTAAATAACAAATATTTTTAGGCTTTTTCATATTAGGTTTTACATTATCTTTACATTTCCTCCCAAAATCTAAGTTAAAAGATAAGACAAAATGTGATATTTTCTATAGAAGGGACTTGTACGTTCCTCATCTCCAGGCAGGTCCCAACTCTCCCTGGAAGGTTCTCCAAGGAAGAAATCTCTGATTTCTTTTAGCAATCCTATAGTAGGGGTGGCTAAGGGTTTTCATCTTATTTGATCATTAGGTAGTAGCTGCCTTTAGTACTGAGTATTGTGGTGCTATGCATACTGAAAACCATCACTGTTAGACCCTTTTTTCTGTATCTAAATTAAATAATTTTGCTCCAGAATAGGATTTGAATACTTTTGAAGAACTTTAGTGACATTATTTCTCCACGATATAGTGTCTTGCACTAAATACTAAACCAAAAGGAAACTCTGTTTATCCCTACTCCTAATTCCTCTTTTACTCATTTCATATTAATTTGGGCTATTCTGAAGAAAATAATCCCCTTCCTTCCTCAGGGTGGATTGGGAAGGATGATAAATCAGCCTGGCTTCAGCTGGACGAATGGAATAGTTCAAAAGCAGCTCTGAGGTGTATGCAAATGCCTGAGAACTGAAAAATCAAAGAAACTGTGGGTGCTGCTGAGGACCCAGAGATACAGCTGACTGAGTCTGTGTGAGTATCAGTGAGTGTATGTTTGCTAGTGTGTGGTTCCTGACAAGTATCTGGGAGCTTTGGGCCACTCAGACTGGTCACAGGGTGGAGGTTGATGAGGAGACATCAGGGTTGTTGGGGGATTAGAGATAAGGTATGTAAAGCACTAAATGCTTACTGATAATCCCAAGGACTCGATAAGGAAACAAAATAATGAAAACATGTTGGTGAATCATTGTGATTGATCCCTGAAGGTCACATAACTGGTTGGCCATGGAGTTGGGACCAGAAGTTCAGGTTTCCCCAGAGACTGGATTCCAAGTCCAGTGCTCTCTCCAATGAAATGCTCCAACTCTGAGATACCAGGCACTTTGGCGCAAATTGTAGTCATTGCAGTGGTTGACCCTGTATAATATCTGTGGTGGCAGGATGGGGCTGAATATTACCCAAGAAAAAAGGTAAAAGAACTGGGCATCCCATGGAAACATTGATTTAACCCTCTTTCTTTTGGACCTCAACATGAATGACAGCAAAACACTAGCCCACTCCTCAGGATTCCCCAGGGATTTTTATGGATAACAGTGATGAGTCATATTTTGAGCTTGTACATTATGACTTGCACATACTGTTTTCGCACAGTCTTCAAAATATCCTTAACCTTAGTTTTCTACTAAGGTTAGAAATCAGTGTAATCTGATTTAACCTTCTACTAAGGTTAAAAAAAAATAAAATCAAGGCAAAGCAATGAGTGCCTGATTGCTAAGGACTCTGGGTCCTTAGGATATAGTCTTTGTGGTATATGACAAATCTCCACTTCTTTTTTTTAAGATTTATTTATTATTTATTTATTTAATTTATTTTTGGCTGCGTCGGGTCTTAGTTGTGGCACGCGGACTCTTCATTGTGGTGCACGTGGGCACAGGATTTTCTCTTCTCTAGTTGTGGCCCGCAGGCTCCAGGGCAAGTGGGCTCTGTAGTTTGCAGCACGCGGGCTGTCGTCCAGGCGCGCAAGCTCAGTAGTTGTGGCATGTGGGCTTAGTTGCCCTGCGGCATGTGGGATCTTACTTCCCTGACCAGGGATCAAACCCGCGTCCCCTGCATTGTAAGGCGGGTTCTTTACCACTGTACCGCCAGGGAAGTCCCCATCTCCACCTTTTGACTGTGGGACCCAGGCTTGGCCAAGCTAAATACCATTGCTCTGGCTATAGGAAGAGATGATGGATGGATACCTGGATAGGAATAGATTCATGACTCAAATAGTCCAATGAGTTTTATCAGGATTTTTTTCTCCTACAGATATCAGGAAAGAGATACCTCCTTTTTGGCAAGTTTCCCGAGCTGAAAGATGGCCTGTGCCTGGAAATATGATCAGCCATCACTGCTAGCCTGTGGGAACAACCTGCCTGAGAAACACACCGACTGAGAGGAAAGCAGAACTGAGACGTGAGCAGAAAAAGGTAGGGTCTTGAGCATATTCCTTGATCCTTCTGTGCCTGAAACCAATCCTGGCCTCATATGCTAGCTACACAAGCCAAGGCCCTGGTTGTCTTAAAGTTGTTTAAGTCAGATGTTTTCACTTAAATAGATCCTTTACTCACATTATTCCATTAGCCTTATTATGCCTATTCTGTAGATAAGGAAACTGAGATTCTGAAAGGTTAAGTGTTTTGTTCAAGCTAACACAGCTGGGAAATGGTGCGGCCTGGATTTGAGATTGGGATGTTCTGCTTCTATAGAGCATGCTGTTTCCATAGCCTGATGCAGCCTCAGTGAGTATGGCTAATGGAGCTGGTCAAGCCAGACCTTGATGTCACTAAGGGGACAGGCATTGACTCTCTTGTTTTACTAGCTCATGGGCTTACCAATGACATTAGACACTTCAGGCTGGCACACTCAGGGTCAGACAGGCTAAACTTGGTTTTTGGATCCCATGCTGCATGCCCGGCAGCTCTGGGAATCCCTTTTTATTCAGGCTTCCCAAGTTGCAGGAACTGCTAACTGGACTGGATCAGACCTGGCTGGCCTCCAGGCAGCCAGGCTGCTGCTGAGAAGACAGAGGTTCTGCAAACAGAAACACCCCAGGGAGATGCACTCGGCTTTGAGGTGCTGAGACTCCCACCTCCACATTCTGAAGCTAAGGAAAAAAGAGCAGAAGCTGTTCGAATGTGAGAAAACAGTATCTTTAATATTTAAGTAACAAAACATGGAGGTCAATACTCAGTGCATGTACAATAAGACAGAGCAGCAACAAAAAAAATTTACAAAGCACACTCTAACTACATGGAGGCTTTCAAACAATTAAGTGTTGGATAGAGAATGTGCTAATTAAAAACCCAGCTGAGCCACACCTCAGGGCCTCAGACCTGACTAGGGACTTGGTGGTGGTGCGGGGGAGAGTTCACTGTGTTCATGGCCTTCCACTCAAACCCTGAGAACCCTGAACAATGTCCATGTCCTACATTGCTCAGCTTTCTCTCTCCCAACCTCCACTTTGTGTGTGTGTGTGTGCATGCCCTTGCTGACTTTTTTTTAATTTTAATTTTATTTTTTTTACAGTAGGTCCTTGTGGGTTATGTAATTTAAACATAGCAGTGTGTGCATGTCAATCCCAAACTTCCAATCTGTCCCTCCCTCTTACTCTTCCCCACTGGTGACCATAAGTTCATTCTCTGTCTGTGAGTCTGTTTCTGTTTTGTAAATAAGTTCATTTGTATCATTTTTTTTAGACTCTGCATATAAGCGATATCATATGATATTTGTCTTTCTCTCTCTGACTTATTTCACTTAGTATGATAATCTCCAGGTCCATCCTGATTTTATCTGTTCATCCTTTACCCCATCTTAGACAATGATTTTCATGAGCGCTCTTATGTGGTTTGGCCTAAAACCATTGCTGTCTCATTGAGAAGTGTCTCTGGGTTTACTGTTTGGATTCTTGGTGAACACAAGTCCTCTCTGTTTAATGGGCCATGATCTGGTCTCCCCCCCCCCAACGTAGTCTTTACAGCCTGAAGACCCCTATGAATATTCACCCATCTCCTTGGAGGCCACTTTCATATGCACTATTGGCCTGAGGACTTTTTTCCTCCAAAGAATAACCCAATGGTCAGATTCCCCCAGTGCCAGCACTGTTCCCTGACTAGGTAGTTTTGAGAGATTGGCCTTACCTCAGTTTCCTGGGGGGCGCCTATTCTGGCTCTCGTGCTGGGATGGGATTCTGGTGGCCTGGAAGAAGGAGGTTAGGCTTTTGGCAGTAGTGATGCAAACACAGGGAAGGCGTGTGGCTGCAAAGAGTTCTCGAACATCCAACGGTCCAACCACTCAAGATGACTTTAGTGAAGGGACCAGCTTTCAGGGTCACAAAGCTGACCACAGTGCCAAGTAAGTGCTACCCTCAACTCTTAGTGGCCTGCAGCCATGGAAGTGTGGACACCTGTCACTTGGAAATATTACATTCAGGCTCATCACTTTTTAAAAAAAGAACCAGTTTCAACTCGCTTCCTAGGACCTGCTGTGTTCCATTATTTGGTTTTTACATGGATTACACTGATTCTATCATCTATAATCAGAGCCCAGGAGACCTCAAAGGGAAAGAAATAGGATCAGTGAGCATTTCATGAAATTTGGACTTAAATGTGATTTTACAAAGTACAATACAACATCAGAGCAATTATTTTTTTCATTTTCTTCTATTCATGTGCAGGGGTGAGGCTAATTCACAGAGACAGTGTATCATTTCACTAATACATTATTTATTCTAAGTATATTTAGAATACCAAATATATTTAGATTACCAAAAAAAAAAAAGAAAAAAGAAAAAAATTCTTTTCTCATTCCTCTAGGGACAGTTTCTGGCCTGTGGCAGAAAGAGGACCCGCAGTGGGGAGTCCAGCTAGAATTAGCAGATGTTAGCAGAAGTGGAGAAGGGTGGTTTCCTCAAACTGAAATCACTTTGGTCCAAGTAATGTTCAAGATCATAGTGTAAGAAAACTCAGATAATGAGCTGCAGATACGATAAATGTTTTTCCCTACTAACTTTCCTTCAGTCAGTGTTATTAGTAGCCAAGTTAGGGCGGGGGTGGGGGGAAGGGGCAAAAACCAAATGGCAGAAAATGATATCTTTTGATTGACTCTTCTTTTCCTTTCAGAATTGTTCTGGGGGATGAGTTGGGAAATAGATCATCAATGGGCCATTGGCTAGAAGGAGGAGGGATAGTCTGCCTAAATTATCTAAGTGATTGATAGGAATTCAAACCACATTCTATCATCAGATTAAAAAGGTTATGTTAAAAAAAAAAGAAATAAGAGGATTGGAAAATGTGGGCTATAGCCTCTAATGCACATCTGCTAACTCAGCTGTTTTGTGATGGAACATTTAGAGACAGAGGCCAGTGTCCAAGACCATCTGGCCTCACCACAGGTGAAACCAAGGCTTTCTAACTTCCAACTGTGAGTCAAAAGCAATGGGAAATCAAGGTAAAATGTCCTTGTTTTTGGGTGAGCTCTAGTTGGGGGATTTCTTCTGCTCCTGCCGAGGTGTCTTGGAGGGCTACACGTAGTCGTACTTGGAAGGATGAGATTGTCCCTCATCTTCTGTGCGGGCACCCCCATCGTATATCTTCTTGTTTTTGGTGTTGGACTCAAAGACAGTGCTGGCTTTGAAGCCTCCAGGCCTGTAGGCAACATTGTGGCCCGAGGCGTGATAAGAGACGGCTTTGTAGCTGAAAGCAAAAGAAACATTCTATGATCATAGATGTATTTGGTAGGAGGACAAACTACTCATTTTCCCTAGGATGTCTGACTTTTAGCACTGAAAGTCCAGTGTCCCAGGAAACCCTTAGTCCTCGGCAAACTGAGACAGTTGCTTCCCTGGGCTTTGGGACACTGGCTTTTCAGCCTCTGCGGTAGAGCAGAATTTCTTGCTTTGTATTAGAGCTGGGGGGTTACTGACTAGTGAGTTCCCTCTGTTCATCAATTAAGATGAAGCTGAACCAGAAATGATGTCCAGGGGAACATGGTTATGCCAAAGAATCATAGAATTTGTGAGCTGGGAGGTATTTACATGCAACCCATCTCCCCTAATCTGCTTAGTATGTGGATGAGGTAACAGAGGCTCAGAGAGGGCAAATGACTGGCTAGAGGTCACGGGGCTGGTGAGCAGGAGAACCTGACTGGGATCCAGGTCTTCCAACCCCAGGCCCAGTTACAGAGGTACAACAGGCATTCTCACCGGCAGTGCTACTAACATTTTGGAACGGACACTTCTTTGTTGTAGGGGCCTGTCCTGTGCTTTGTACGATACTTAGCAGCATCCCTGGCCTATACCCACCAGATTCCAGTATCACCCAATGCTTCCACCCCAAAGCTGTAACAATCAAGAGTCTTCAGATGTTGCCCAATATCTCCTGGGGACCAGGGCAGGGGTGGGTGGGGGTGGGAGGTGGGTAAAATTGCTCCCAGCTGAGGACCATTGAGTTACAGAATACTGGAGTAAGGGGGGGAACCTAGAGGGCTGGGTTTTTCCTTCAATAGCATCATTTCTAAATCTGCTCAGGCTGAAATAGGCCTGTTCTGTTCTTTAGGTCTCCTCGTAAAAGATAAGGTTCATGATCCTCTTGTCAGTAGAGTTCTTTCATGTACCTATACTGATCATTCTGCCTGCAAATGATATGTTAAAATGGACTCGGATAAAACATCTGATTGCATTGGGATGGGGAGACTCACTTGGTTTCCTCGGGCGCCAGGCCCCGGCACGTGATGCACATCAGCACGCCCCCAATTAGCGTGAGGCCTCCAGCGACCCAGCCGACAAACAGAGCCGCACCAAAGGTGTACCTGGGTGGGGAGATGGTGGCTGTGAATGTGGTTGACTCAACTCCCCGGGCTCTACCCAGTGAACCTGGCCATGCCCATCCTCTCTGTCCCCACTTTTGGATTCTACATCTATCCCAGCCCGCCCCTGAACACAGCCCTTTGGGTTGCAGTCAACTGAATCAAGTGTCCTGAAGAATAGAATTGGGACTGAAGCTACTCAGCAAAAAAGCTGTGGGATTCTTAGGCCCCTAGCATCACTCAGGCATAGAATTAATTGTAAACTTCTAATTTCAGAGAAACATCTCAGGAAATCCCCCTCCCTCCCTATTGGCAAAGGGAAGTGTCTTGAAGGTTCGGTAAGAGAAGTTTGAGAGATTAGGGGATCAGTCTCAAGTTATTATTTCAGAAGGAATTTTGGTCTCTTGGGTTCTTACTGTGGATAAATCTCTAACTTAAGTAACCCTGGTAACCGTCCATGCCGGTAGGAGCATTAAGTTTAGAAAGAACTAATGTGAAGAGACCAGTCATTCTTTCATTCATTTCTTTACTCATTTGTTCAACAAGTATTTATTGAGCTCTTACTATGTGCCTGGCACTGGCAGGCACTGGGACAAAGGGATGAACAAAATGGACACAGACCCCACCCTCATGGTGCTTCTGTTCCAGTCCACACTGAATTCCAGTCCACCAAGGCTGGTGCCCTTCTCCTTAGAGGGTTGCCTCCAATGGGACTCAATTACATCAAAACAGGATTGTCTGAGAACAAAATCTCTGAAGTTGCCTGCCCAAGGGACACGGGAATGTTCTAAGGAGACGGTGTAAGAGAGTGATGGTGGGCATTAGCGCTGGGTGCTAGGCGGGTGGGTGACTCCTCGGGCAGGGGCAGTGACACTAGGCACCCAGATACTGCGGCCAAGGCGAGCTCTTCAAAATAGGGTGACCAACCATCCTGATATGCCTGTGACAGAGAAGTTTCCCAGGATCTGGGACTATCAGTGCTAAAACTGGGAAAATCCCAGGAAAACCAGGACGAGTTGACCAGCTTGCTTCTAAGTTGCCCTTGTAGTCAAGAGACCATGAGGGGACGGTAAAGGAGGATGAGGGCAGCTTATGGGGATCACATTTTTTCCTATTCTTGAAATAAAGCAGGAACATGGGTGGCGAGTGGAGCTCCAGGGAGCCAGAGAGTAATGGATTTATCACATGCTCACGCTCATCTGTCTCCCATGATGGTGCTGCTAGAGAAATACCAAGTGTATCCACTCCACAGATGACGGGTCACTTAGGTATAATATTTACATTGCTCTCCCAGAACAAGATCTTTCTCCTTCAGGAATTTGCTGCTGCTTCTTGCTATGAAATACATCCCTTTGAAGTGGCTAAATGAATATAGGTATTGGAATTGCTCTTCCATCTTTGAAAAGTTCTACTCTGCTTCCGACACCAAATTACAGTGAGGTTTCATCTCCCTCCACTAGACCGTGACCTCCGTGAGAACGAGGACCTTGTCATTATCCCCAGACGTCAGAAGAGTGCCTGTATGTTCGGTACGTTTGTAGAATGAATGAATGAATGAATGAGAGAAAGAGCAGCCGTACAAGGAAGAAACATTACTTTTCTCATCTGTACCGCACCTCCCTCATTTCGATTCCAGCTTTGCCCTGTCCCTAGCTGGGTTCCCGTCATGGACTAGAGACGTGGGGGTGATGCTCATTTACAAGCTTGGGTTAGCAGTGCCTGTTTCATTGCCACCACAATGGGGCCTGTGTAAGAGTGGTAGATAAATACTGTGATCTGTCGCTGTATTTCAATGCAAATGTCAGATCAGCCTCAAGTCATATCGCCAAGGATATTTCACTGAAATGAAGCTTATGAATTTACAGATCATTGTTGATTTATGATATGGCATGGTTGCCTCTGATAAATTTTTGCTATTTCAGGCGCTGACAGTCACATTAGGCATACGTGTTTAATCGGATTTTTACAACAATGTTCACCACGGAATACTGAGACTAGATTAGGGGGTTACCTGGTCTGGACGGTCTGCACCATCCCACCCATGCTGGTGTACATGTTAGCTGTGGACATCCAGAAGTTAGTCACCAGCATGTTGGCAAATACAGACACTCCAGCGATTGCACAGAGACCTGTGGGCAACAGCAAGAAAACTCCAGAGTCAGCTTTAAATGGATCACATTGTTTGTGAGGCAATGTATGTTTAAACGAGTTTAGAGGAGCAGGCTGCAGAATATTCTGTTCCTATAACAGGATGGTCAATCCAAGCATTGATTATTGAATTCCCACTATGAGTCAGACCCTGTGCTAGGTGCCTACACTCTCTTATCTCTCCAGTTGAGGAAGGATTTGTATGTGCGCAGAAAGAGATTTTCCATCGTGGGACCAGGGGTCAGTAGTACAAATATTTTGGGCCCGGTCCTTTTCCCTTAAAATCATTTTCTAAAGTCTCACCAAAATAATGCCTTTAGGGATTGAGTCACATGTCTGCCTAGAGTTGAGAATCTCTCATAATGAGGCGAGGGTGGCAGCTAAGAGGGACACCAGCACTCATGATAATTCTGTAGAGTGTAAGTGAGCCTTAATCTCAGATCTTGAATCCCAGCGTGTAAAGCTCTGATCCATGTTCAAACCATGCTCACTAGGGAGAAGCCCTGTCCTCTGCCAGAATGATTTTGCTTTGACATTCCTGGACGCGCATTTGAGAGAGGGAACCCCAGGCTCCTTGTTTACCTGAGATGATGAACATGATCCCGGAGGTAAGTGTCATTTTGGCTTTGGCAGAGTCATCCATGCTGCCAATACGGATGCACTTTAGGGCGAAGATGGACACCAGGAGGCCAATGATACTCAGGACGATGCCCACAATCATCAGGGCTCGCACTGCCTGCAGCATGGCTGCGGGGCGAGGGGCAAGACACAAGCAGACAAGTAAGACCACCTCAACGTGATTGATTAGGCTCTGGTGTAGTACAACAAAACAACTACAACCAACCAGCACCAAACTGCTGAGAAAAGGCAAGTCCATAAACTGTGAAACTTATCATCCTCAGGGGATATGAAATTGTGAAAAATGCAAAACCATCGCTTACACTCCCCTGATTGATGAAAGACATGCACGCAGGGGTCTATAGAATGAGAAAATTATGAACTGTTGGAGCTGGGAGGGCCAAGGGAATTTAGCTACTTCATGTCCTCATTTTAAAGCTTGATAACCTGGGGTCCAAGAAGGGGAAACGGCTTGACTAAGGTGCCATTAAAAATTATTGATAGAGCTTATAGTAAAACTGTGTTGCTTTGACTTCTAACCCAAATATCTTTCTTCTCTAGTCTTTCCATAGGAACTCAGTGCTTCATAGGGTTGTGTCCACTTCCAGAAAGCTCAATACTCACTTACAGCCTATAATGAAGCAAGGTCACTAGGTGGTATACCAGGGGCACTGTATTGTTGCCTGTTCCCAAAGGGACTACTAAGGTCATGGTGAGCTGTAGGTTTGGGGTCTACATAAAAAGACGATTATATCAATCTCAGGCCTTTCAGCACAACCACAGTTTATCAGCAGTTCCCTTTCCAGGAATCAATGGAAGCTGTACATCCTGCTGGGGAGTCGCCTGCAGTGACCTCCCCTCCAGATATTTCCAAAGAGGTTTCTAGTGCATCCTTAAGGTGCAGTGACTCATCCCAACAGTTTTTTACTGAGCCTGCATGACTAGGCATGGGGATGACTGTGAGTAACAGGTCGGATATGGTCTCTGCCCTCACGGAGCTTATGCCAAAGTGGGGAAAGAAAGTCATTAAACATGTCCACCACAAGCATAATTAATTTTACAAAAGGAAGAAAAATTAGTTCTTGTGTCTTCCAGAGGGAAAGGCCACTAGTGTGGGTAGTTCTGGTAGAGCAGAACTGAAGAACCATGTGAAGCAAAGCAGAGAGCTCTGTCCTATCCTAGTTGTCATAGCCAACTGCTACTTCTTTTTTCGGTACGCGGGCCTCTCACTGTTGTGGCCTCTCCCGTTGCGGGGCACAGGCTCCAGACGCGCAGGCTCAGTGGCCATGGCTCACGGGCCCAGTTGCTCCGCGGCACGTGGGATCTTCCCGGACCGGGGCTCAAACCCGTGTCCCCTGTATCGGCAGGCAGACTCTCAACCACTGCGCCACCAGGGAAGCCTGCCAACTGCTACTTTTAATTGAAAGCTATTAGGGACTTTTCAACGTTAAGAGATTGAATCCATATAAAAACTCCCTTGCAATGTAGGTAATATTATTATCTCTATTTTATGATTGAAGAAATTGAGACTCAGAGGTTAAATAACCTGCCCAAAGACACATATCAAGGGAAAGGCAGAGCTGGGGGTCAAACCTGGAACTGTTTCAAAATGGTTATTTTCCCATCACAATACATTGCTCTGAGGTACTTTATCCTGGAAAAACAGGTAGAGTTCTGGCTGCCAGCAAGGTATAGGGATCTGTAAGCTCCTAACAGAATGTATCCTTCAAACTTGGAGACTAGACCATAAAATGTCATCCTCTGAAATGGATGCTAAGAATGTATAAAGGAATATTCTCCAAAAGTTATCTCAGGGAATTGCCTGTCCCAGGAGATTATTTATAAATGTGACTCTCAAGACAAGGGAGCCCTGGGAGGAATTCTCTCCAGTCTCTTCGGGAAGATTTCATCTCAAATATGGCCGATATCAGGGGAGCTGCCTGCTTATTCACTCTAACCTGTGTATCATAAAGCAATTTGTCATGATGGAAGAATTGGAAATCAATGAAATATATTGAAAACAGGAGAGGTAGATCATGCACAGTTCATTAAAGAGCCTTCTGCAGTGTCTGAGGAATGGAGGCCCCGGCAACTTTCCCATCAGGTAGCGAGACAATGGTAACCAGCTACTCTAGTTCTGTACCATTGACTTCCATTCACTTAATTCTGATTCTCTTCTCCCTAAAGAAACTTCTGCTTTTAACTTTGCTTCCCTGCTGGGAAGAGATTTCTATAAGCATCCATCATCAGTCTTGGTCCTATTAACCACTATATTCTGGGGGTAAATGTGTTGGTGTACGGTGTGGAGCAATCTTCCAGGATCTGACCATTCATTCCTAGAAGAATTGATGAACATTAGCATCTTGGGCTTGCAGTTTCCTGATGCTAGAGCCACGGTGGCCCCAGTAAGGTGAAAAGAACTCATGAGGGCTTAAGAGTGGCCTCTGGATCCAATCCTTAATATAAGAGGACTCCAGTGTGTCACCTCTGTTTTCCAAAGCCTTGCCCAATGACTTTGTTGACCCCACACATACTGGGAACAAACACCTCATCCATTCCCTCATTAACAAATGCAAGCATGTGACATCTACTTGTGTATTTATTTATATCTTTGTGTATTCATCCAGCACATGTTGGTATACTCTCATAGTCAAACGTTAACAGATTCATGCGCTCATCCATGAATTCATTCATTCATTCATTCATTCATCCATCATGTATTCTTAAGCTCAAATTCTCTGCAAAGCCCTTTGCCAGATGCTGTAGGAAGAATAAAATTTCATGAGAAATAATCTCTGTCTTCAAGCAGCTTACAACCTGGAAAGATTATATTTTCACTGGAAATCCTGAACCTCAAATTTCTTTTCACTTTGGGAGTACCTTGGCTAAGTAATCATAATAGAACCCCTTTCTGACAGTCACTCATGGTGTGGTTCTAGCTCTCTTTCACACACACAATTAAACTCTAAGGCTGTGGTTCAGGACAGCTGTGGAGAGGACATTTGTGGGGCAGCCCCAGACTTCAGGAAATACCCTCAGGGCTCTTCTATTTTTGCATGTTGCTACCAGAAAACTGGACCTATGAGAGGAGGAAGGGACTTTGCCTTTCCTTCCTTCTTGTCCTCATGGGCCTCTTATGAACTTCAAATCTACTCAGGAACCTGTTAAAGCTTTTAAAAACTGCTCTTGTTCTGATATTTTAAGCCTTAAGCCATTCAGAGAACAAAATCTTTTATCCCTTTTGAGAAGCACCTGGCAAGGCACCTGGTTAAAACAACTAAAACCCACCCAACCAACCAACCAACCAATCAACCAGCCAAATAAACAACATTAACTAAGTAGGATAAAAAGTATCCCTTCCTCATTCTATGAAAAATTTTACTTATCTTGGACTGTTGTCAAGGATGGGGTCATTGAACCTCTTTCACTGAGTGGTTCTACTATTTGTTCCTGAAAACATACCACATATGTGCTATGGCTGTGGCTGAAGTATGTGGTCTTCCCTGACATTGTTGGATTAGAAGGGATGGTGATGCCAGCTGGTGGGAGGTAAAAGCACCGGGCTTGCCTGATGTGGAGAGCAGCTCCTGCTGTGTGTGCCACAGGATTCTTTGGGTACCGAAGCCGTAGCCGGCCTGTCTTTGCCTTTGCAAAGACAGCCTTTGCCTCAGGCTCTCAGATGCCCTCTTGCCTTTGCTGGGTCAGGTATGCATGACAAGACCTCATTCTTTACTGCTCTCTCTTGATCTCTGGATTTCTGATGAACACTGGTACCTGCTTCGAACCAGGGGTCCACCCTGACCCTGAGCTCGTTTTTATTTTTTAGAATCTCCTTCTAGGGTTAGGATTAGATTACCACTTTCTTTTAGCCTGTGGTTGGGCAAAGACACAACACTGTCTTAAATCTTGCGGGGCCACTGTCAGAGCCACAACTCTGGACCTGGATGGATGAACCAAGATCTTCCTTGCTTTGGAGACCCCTTGTGGGTGTTCTTCTGAGGGTGGGAGCTGTGATGGGGGCAGCTGTCAGGAAGCGAGGGGAAATGTTCTTCACTACTCATTGCTGGAACCCCCCTATGTCTAGTAATGACCATGGGGATGCATGGTGGTGACCCGAACTTCCTTTCCATCTGGAAGATTCTACCACCTGGAATACTAATCCGTCTCCATGGATAAGTCACCAGAGGAACTGCTTCCAAAGGAGGTAAGATTTCTCTTTTAGCCTCTCTGTCTCTTATTTGATACTCTGAGCAAGGGGCATAGGCTTATCAGCTGGTAACAGGTGAGTCAACGGGTTCTATAGACTGATTCCCTGCACCAAAGGTGTGACTACAGCATTCTTTCCAATGAACAAAGACGTATTATCAGACCTGAAAGGTGGGCAGGATTCAGGGCTGACAGAAGCAAACAGAAAAATGGGAACTCAGTTTCCGCCCCCCACCCCCCACCGTTGCAATATATCTTATTCCCCCAAAGTAGCTATGAACTGACAGGCAAGGCGTGGTTCCCAATCCTGGCTGTACCTTAGCCTCTCCTGGGGAAACTTCTAAAGAAATGTTAATGTTTTGCCTTGATCCCTAGGGATTTTCATTTAATTGTTCAGTGACATAAAATTGCAAGGGATAATCTGGGAAAACAGCCCTCAAGAGGGCTTAGGAGGAGGTGCTCAGAATGGGGAGTTGAGAGGAAAGAGTTCCCAGCGGCTGACATCGCTAAGCTGGCTAGGGGTTGTGGGTGGGGCTGATGAGACTGCAAGTCACAAAGTGCCAAAGACTGGACATGGGGCCTTTGTTGGGGGGGCAGGGGGAGGACCCATATCTTCAGGCACAGCTTGGCTTCAGATTGAAGGCAGGAATGGCTGGTGGAGGAGCCCGAAGGAGGGGATCCCAGAGGAGGGAAGTCTAAGGCCAGACCTCAGAGGGAAAGCCCTTCAGAACAAGGTGGGAAGGCTTCGATTCTCCAGAGATCCCAGGGAACTGATATGGAGGTCCTGTGTATCTCATGAAAACCTGCAGACTTCATGATACCAGATGAGCGTCATTAGGCAAGTCTTTTAACCTCACGGAAGCCAAGTCTCCTCAACTCTGGAGTGGGATAGAGATATTTCTTGCAAAGAAATGTTGTGAGGATCAGATGCTGCTTGGCCCCAGCATGGAACTAAGCCAGACTCAGTAAGTTTTAGTTTCTTCCCCTTCCTTAAAAAGAAGTTATCTCTCCATAGAGAACAAACTAGTGGTTACCAGTGGGGAGCGGGGGAGGGGCAATATAGGGGTGTGGGAGTGGGAGATACAAACTATCGGGTGTAATCTAGGCTACAGGGATGTATTGAACAACACGCGGAATGTAACCAACATTTGGTAATAACTGTAACTGGAAAGTAAGCTTTAAAAATGGTATAAAAATTAATTTAAAACAATAAAACAATTTGAAAAAATGCAGTTATCTCTCTCCAACCTGACATGGCTTTGATTTGTGTTAACCGTGTACAAACCTGAATCCTCTCACATGGTGATAAAATATAGTTGAGAATTTGAAAGCCATGGGTGAGAGAGTGTGAAGGGCAGGAATGGAAGAAGACTTGGGAAGAGGAGGAAGAGAAAGGCCTGGACCAAGGTAGGGGGGAAGATCTCCTCTTATTCACAATATTTCAGGATGCCAGTTGACACTGTAGTCACTCCTGCTGCCTTGAGGACTGGCTATTCTTAAATCCACACTGTCCTCCAAGGCCATACATGATCAACGATTTAAAGTATCTCCTCTCCCACAAACTCAGTCCCAAGAAATGTCTTTCCTGGATTTTGGTGGGATCCTGTTTCCCCGATGCAGACCGGCAGGGCTGGGGTCCCCCTCTGTGAAGGCTGCCTGGAGCTTTTCAGAGTTTCAGATTTGTGAGCAGTTGTCGGGAGTGGTACAGAGATCTGTGGGATCCTTTTTCATTTGGGGATGTGAGGGGGCTTCAGGGAGGAGATGGTATTGAGCTGGACCTCACATATGGGAAGATTTGTGCAGGTGGCAGTTGGGGTGTAAGAGGGGGGACATTTGGGCAGTAGGGGCAATGGGTATCCAGGACCAAGCCCAAGGCATAGTAAATGGACAGGGAAAACCTTAGGCTGTGGGCAAAGGGCTGGTAAGAGATGGGTCAGGGAAGGGAGGTGAGCAATGCAGGAGGGTGTGGGTGTCAGGCTGTCATGCCTGCACCTAATTAAGCTGGGAGTGGGGAACCATGGAAGCTGGTTAGGTCTTGAAATATCCAGGGAGATGAGAGGTGAGAACTGGAAGTTGGTGACTGGAAGATTCTGCCCGACCTTCTGCCACAATCAAAGCAGAAAACACTCTAAAGAGATGAAGGATAGAAACCAGAAGTTAAGAGTGAGGGGTGGTAGAAAAATTGAGTCTTTTAATTTGATTGTCAGTGAGCCGGGGAGAGACAGAAATTGACAATGATCCGAATCAAGAGAAGGTTTTCCAGTAAAGGAGGATATAAGCATAAGAGAGGAGGGAAGATGAAAGAGGCAGAAAGGAGAGGGGCTGATCAGCGGTGATGGCCAGACAGGAGGGTGTGGGGCATTCAGAGCCGGGTTGGAGAGGTCGGCCTTGGGCGGGAGGGAGGGAGGGAGGGAGGGGATCTTGTTCTGCAGAGAGATGGGGAGATGAGGAGAGGTTCTGGGAGGGCTCAGGGAGGATGGGATCCCTCGATAGAACAGGAAAGACAATGAGAGTGGCAGCGATGGGGTCTGGCCATTTAGGAGAGTGGGGATATGTGGGAGCCCCATGTGTAGAAAAATACAGAATGAGCAAGAGATTGATAACATGTGATGGGGCCCTGCGTTAACGAGCTGAAGTCATGGAATGTCATGCCTTAATTTTCAACATAAGGTCAATCTTATTTTTTCATTTAATAGTTAAAATTAGCTAGCAACTAAACAATCCACGGTCTCACATCTCCTCCCTTCTGACCTTTGCCCTCACACTATAGCATCATCCCTCCTCCAGGGTTTCCTTCCCTCCGGCCAGGTTCTACCACCCTTGATTCTCTAAGCAGGTCTCAGTCAGGGATGGGTCTGTCCTGCAACACAAGTGGCTTCTAAAAATGGAGTCAATACCCCAATTCTTCCACTCTGCCACCCACCTTCTATTTCTTTCTACACATGGAGATGAATTAATTGAATTGCTCTTTACAATTCAATTTCAAGGGCTTCACAGGCTCCTAACAGTTTTGTGCAAACTTATTCCCATCTACCTGTCCACAAAGTGTTTGTTTCAGAGAGGCAAAACCCAGCCCCGTTTTCCTTTCCTCACCAAACTCACATCTGGGCCACTCCTTGGAGCCACCGATTAGCCTGACCTTTTATTTCTTTTTGCTTTAAAAAACAAATGCAAGTAGAGCTTCCATAATATCTAGAATGCAAAGTTCCTATGATTCCTATTTGAAATAATTATCTGTATGAAAAACAGGGATTTAGCTGATTTTATCTTCAGGGGTGAAACGATGTCACATTTATAATTATATTTATATTCTGAAATTATTATAATATCATTACAGTTCTATAATTATATTTTGACATGCATTGTTTTTTAGGAGTGCAGACCAGAACCTCTCAACACAAATGCAGAGAAAAGATATTTATAGTTTAATGGCAATGTATACTTTCTGGCACCTACAGAGAACTCCAGCTTTTCAAAGGAAAAATTAATTGAATTGATAATGAAATGATATTAGCTCCCAATAAACTTTTTGGACTGGAAGAAAATATTCACCATCCTACCTACTCCCATGTGTGTGCAGGCAAGAGCAATGCACATACATGCACACGATTACTTTTCTTCTTGAGAAACATTGTCTATTCTAGTACCATGAGCCTGTCCTCACGATAGACCCATTCTTTTCAAGACCTGCTTCCTTACTAGCAATTCCTTTGACCTGAGTACGAAGTCTCCGATATTCACCGCTACGACTATAGCCCTCTTTGACACCGGGTCAACTTCTCCTCTTATTCACACCTCCGATCCGGAGCCCGTGCTGCGAGGGTCATGCCCTGCGCGCATCTCACCAGTCCCTCCTGGCTGCGGTGAGAGAAGCAGGCCCTTCCCTACCTCACCTGTGCCCTCGCCTACCTGGCAGGCCCAGGATGGTGAAGTAGGGCCGGCACTGGGTGAAGCCGGAGCTCTGCTGCACGCAGCTGCGCCAGAGCCCTTCGTACTGGAACACGGCGGTGACAGGGTTGTCGTACAGGTCCTGGGTGCTCCACATGTCCATCACCGTGGCAGTGATGCAGCCGGCCAGGCCCAGCATGGACAGCAGGAAGCCCACCACTTGACATGTGGTGGTGGACATGGCCTGGGTCACCGTCCTCCCACCCAGCTGCCTCCTTCGTCCTGCTGTGCTCCCGGGGAGCTGCTCTGATTAGATGGTTTCCCTCAGCCCTTAGTGTTTGCTCACAGTGTTTTCCTTAGATAGTTCAGTTTCACTCTTGGTTCAAGGGCATTATTTTTTCATTTGTTAGGGAAGCAGCCCCAAGAGGCACTTGTCCCGCTGCACCGCGCAGGCCCAGCTGGTTTGAGGGCGAGGCAGTCTGAGTGGACCCCCGCCCCATCCTGGCTCAGGCTCTGCCCCGAGGGCGCCACCCTCTGGGGAAGAAGCGCAGCTGAGACCCCCCCCCCAAAAAAAAAGCCCTTCCTTTAGGCTCTGCTCATCACAGGAAACCACTTCGTCTGACCTCACTTAAAAAAAAAAAGGCTCCAGGAATCTCCTCTTACACCAGATGTTAACATTTTCTCCTCACGACTAAAACCACGTTTCACTGACAGTTCCATTTTGATCTTACAGAAATGGGTAGGGCAGGTATTATTATTTCCCACCCATATTTTTTTTGGGGGGCTGTGAGTCAAGCGACCTACAAACAGGTTAAGAAACTTGCCCAAGTGCCTTGAGCCACAGCTACTTTTTTTTTGCGGTACGCGGGCCTCTCACTGTTGTGGCCTCTCCCGTTGCGAAGCACAGGCTCCGGACAAGCAGGCTCAGCGGCCATGGCTCACGGGCCCAGCCGCTCCGTGGCATGTGGGACCTTCCCGGGCCGGGGCACGAACCCATGTCCCCTGCATCGGCAGGCGGACTCTCAACCACTGCACCACCAGGGAAGCCCCCACAGCTACTTTAAAGATGACAAAGGTGGAGCTCCCATCTCAACTTCCAATCTGGGGCTCCTTCTCTGTTTCCATATGGAGTGGCAGAGGCAGGCAGAGTTGTCCCCTCTTTTGAGAACAGGAAGCCAAATCCTAGAGATACGCTCTCGGTCCACTGATATTGGAACTGGGATGAGAAGAAGCAGGGCATTGTATTGACGGCCATCTCACCCTTTCACTCCTGTTGCAAGAACCACGTGAAGACCACGTGGCATGCAGACATGGAAGTTCCACAAAGGCCAGGAGGAGGGAACAGGGCAGGCTGGGCCAGAGACCCTGACCTGGTTACTGAGAGGCCTAGCATCTGCTCCTGACACTGTCCCTAACACGCCGTGTGCTGCGTGATTTGGAACAAATGGCTCAACCTCTGTGGGTCACAGTTTTTTCATCTGTAACATGGACAGACTAAACTAGAACACTTCAGAGCCCATTCAGGTCTCACACACTGTCACCTTCTACATTTTGCAAAAGCGGTTTTCACTACAGTTGGTCAAAATATCAGGATTATATAGTCACACAAAAGAGAGACTTGGCTGGAGATCAGCCATGGCGTTTTGTCTACAATAATTTGCTTTTAGAATTATGTTAGGGAACTGATGGACCTGCTGCTTCCCGTAGGTGGTGTGTGTCTGGCCTCCGAATTCAGACACATTTTAATGAGACTTTCCCCAAATCTGGATGTCAGGGCCCTGATACACAGCCCCACACACCCATACCCCAATCTCTAGCCTGCAGACAGGTTCTCCCGGAAACAGGCCTGTGCATCTGGACATTTCAATGTTATCTTGGGTGCACCCAGCCACCACTCCCACGGCTTTATTCCCAGCAAACACAGAAAGCAAATATGCAAGGTCTCCCCTCTGATTTGAATGGAGGCAATGCTCCCCTCAACCGCACACCTTGCTTTAGGTTCTGTGATCAGTGTTTGCAGAGAAAAAAGAATGAGTCAGGAAACCCAGAAGACGAGAGCAGGCAAGAGTTACATGACTAAGGTCAAGTCGTGGCTCTGTATCCCCTGAACTGAGCTACAAGGCCAAGTCTGAAATGTGGGTAGAAGGCAGCTAGAAGAAGTGACTTCTCTGCTGGTGGACAGGGATCGACCGATTCAACTGGAAAATGTTGGAGTAAGTCAGGAATGATTCTGCCACTGTGTCTGTGGACAGAGCTCATTTTACTCTTTTTTCAACTAAGAGGCAGGCTTTTTACCCACAAAGACATCTGTAAGAGTTTGGTTTCCAGTTGTTCATTTTACGACAATCTGTCTACCCCCTCCCCACACATTGACTACAATACCACGAGAACAGTAGATTGAAAATGGAGACATTAAAAGGAAAAAGTTATTATGGCTATCTATTCTGATTCATGGCAGTTTCCCCACCCACTCTCCTATGCAAATGTCTTTATGCAAAATTTCAGGACAGAAAAACCAAGTTATTCAGGTAATAAGGAATTAAGCTTTCTTTCTTGCTTGAAATGGCGACAGTGGCTTTATGTTTTTGGAGGAAGGAAAAATTAAGTTTAAAGGATAAACTAAAGCTCCCTCTACCTAGGCAGAATACTGAACGAGTAGAGAGAAATTCTAAGTCTATACACTTTTTAAAATATGAAATAAGTACTAACATGTTTTAAAACATGTGGAAGATGGGATTTTTCACTTCCTGGTGAGTTTTCTGTGCTCCAAAATGAGTGGACCACTGCTTTAGCTGTCACTGCCAAAGAGTGAATGGGGGTCCGCAGAGGAACATCTGGCTTTCTTGTTCATGGCAACAGGCTTTGTTAAAATATATTAAATGTATCTCTAATGATAGTGATAGTTTGTGGTCTGATTATAATAGTATATAATAATAATGGTAATAATTCATGGTCTGTGTTTAACAATAATGAGGTTGTTACAACTTTGTTTAATCACCTTTAAAATGGAGCAAAAATTTTTGCTGACTTCTTAGGGGGAATCGTCCCTATATTCAACTTTAAATTTGGTTCTGGTGGTGGCATTTCAGGTTGTAAATTTCCAGGAGCTTGTATTATTTTACTGACATTGGAGAAGACATTTCCCCTACCTTTTCTTTATCTCATTTTAGGAATATTAATATAACACCATCTATGGCAATTAGGCAAAATGGTGGTCAAATAGCAATATAAAATATCATAGCTAGGAATATAGGATGAGTAAAATTAGTATTATTAGCAAGACAAATGATTGATACATCTATTGATTTTTTTCTTTTAAACTGTTAACACACTTTGTATTCTTAATTCCTGACTCCACCTTTTGGTGCTCAAAATAGAAAATTTAGAAATAGGGAAAATTAAAAAAAATCTTACAGTTTTAAATCCTAGACAAAATATCTGGCATACTTTCTTTTTAATCCATTCTCTGTATATATTTTTACATGATTAAGAGATTATACGATTTAATGTCTTGTGCTTTTCACTTGATTGCATACATTGTTTAATATATTTAATTTAGTATATTAATATCCCATTATATAGAAGTGCTACTATTCACTAAAACAGCATCTATTCTTATATAGTTAGATTATACCCCTTCCCCAGTTTGTTTGGGTTTTTTTTGTATGAAAAACAATGTTATGATGAACATTTTTCACATAACCCTTTGCTAGCATTTCTGATTACTCTTTTAGGACAGATTCCTAAGAGAGGAATTAAGATGTCAAAGGGTGTGAGGTTTTAAAAAATCTTTCTTATGTAGAAGCAGATTTTTTTTCTATGAATTTTATTCCTAGCAGCGGTATTTGAAAGATGTTGCCTCATTGTACCCTTACCTACACTGTGAATTTGGTAAGTTATACACGATCACTTGTTTTGATTTGCATTACTTTGATTACTAATGAGTTTGAAACTATAGTTTTTAAACAAATATTTATGGAGCATTTGTTTTTCCCTTTTCTTGAGTTGTCAGTTTGTACTCCTTCCTCATTTACTTGTTGGAATTTTAGCATTTTTTTCTACCAATTTATATGAATTATTTATTGATTAAGGATCTTAATATATTGCTATGATTACTAAAAAGATCTTTTCTCATCGATTATTTCCTTTTTAGTGTTTTCCATGGTTCTATAAAAAATACAGCGTATTCCATTTATATTTTATTTATATGTTCCATTTATAGGTTCACAGTACATGGTGCATAATAATACGTGCTTAATAAAAATCTGTTGAATGATGTAGTAAAATGACTGTTCTTTTCTATGCTTAGGAATTTAATTTCCATTTAGAAATGATATTAGAATTATAGAAAGTTTAAAAGTATTTTATGTATCTTTACATTTAATTAATCTGGAATCTATTTTGGTTTATAGTCTATGATTCTTTTTTTCCCTCAAAAAAGTTAATCAATAATTTTTACAGCACTTACTGAATAACCTTTCCTCTCCCCATGCTTTGTAAAACCTCCTCTATCTATATTAAATTCACGTATATGTCTTTCTAATTTTAGACTTTGTTCCATTGACCTTCTGTCCATCTTTGGGCCGAAGCACCCTTTTAATTATCACAGCTTTAGAATTTGGTTGAATATCTGGCCGAATTAGCTCTTTACTTTTGTATTATTCTTAAAAAAAACATTTAAAAGTTAATTTCATCTACTTTCTTCTTATAGATAACCACTTTGTCAAGTTCCCAAAGGAAAACTCTTACTAGCGTTTTGATTAGAATTCTTGTAATATTATCCACACAAGCTTATGCTCTGCAGAAATTCTTCCTGGGTTTGAATTCTCACCTGCCACTTACTACTACAGTGTCACTGGGCAAATTCTACAGCCTTTTTGTGTTTCAGTTTCCTTATCTATAAAATGGAGGTAATACCACTACTTACCTCATAGTGTTGTTGTGAAAATTAAAGTTAAGTGTAAGGTAATTTATGTAAATTTATACAACCATGTAAATTATATTTAAAATATAAATGAACGTATGCTAATTTCTTGAGCCAATGCCTAGCACAGAGTAAGGTCTTAATACATTTTATTATTATGTAATTAGTTAATTATATTATTTATTATTATACATTAATTAGGAACAAATTCACATCTTTATAATATTCCTATCTAGGAACCTGTAGTATATAATTCCATTTAATTGACATTTAAAATTTTCTTAGTAAACCTCTTTTTTCATCTT